GGCGGCGGCAGCACCATGTCCCGCGTGCTGCGCAGCCTGCGCGGCTCGCAGCCCGTGGCGCGATTCCAGCGCTGCTGCGGCCTCTTCCCCGCCGCCGAGGAGGGGCCCGCGGACACGGAGCGCGCCCGCGCAGGCGGCAACGGGCTCTGCGCGCCGCGCCGCGCCCCGCAGGTGAGTGTCGCGGCGGCGCCCCTCGGCACCGGCGCCGGTTCCGCCGCTCTGTTCGCCCGCGTTTGCGCACGTCTGGGCTCCCCTGCGCTGCGCAGGCTGCTGAGCGCTGCGCGCCGCCGGGATAACCCTCCTGCGGGTTATCCGAGGGAAGTTTGCGCGGCCGCGCAGGGGAGGCTGCGCGCGCGGCCCGGCCGGGCCGGCAGCTCTCGGTGACGGGTGGCACGCTGGGTTGCTCACCTGGGCGCGGGCCGCGACGCGTCCCCGGGCACGGGTGGGGTGACCTGATTTCTGCGGTGCGGGCGGCTCTGCAGGGCCGTGCGGGAGCAGGTGACGGTGCCTTCCCTGTCCCCGCTGGCCGGTGCAGCGAGCAGGGCCTACCCGGGCGCTGCGGCTTCCCCCGGCCGGCACTGCCCTTTCCTCCCCTCTTGAGCCCGTCCTTGCGTTGCCATGTCCAGCATCTCAAATTCTCTAGTGCTTGCCTCAGTTAAGAGATAAGGAAGGTTGGGGTGCTCCTGCAGTGTGTCCTCTTTCGCATGACAGCTCTCTCTAAAACAAGGTTTGCGCGCGTTTATTGTAAGCTCTCACTGCTTGCTTTCGCTCAGTGACGCGGGCAGGGTGCAATCATGCCAGTAATAAAATCTTATCAAGGAGAATGCGCTTGGAGCGGCACCATTGGCCTGAGCTGCAGCATTGAGGTGGCCCTATGGAGCAGCAAGGGCAGGAGGTGCCTGCGGGGAGCAGAGCTTGGCTGGGGCAGGACATGGCCATGGGGCACACGGGTTGCTAACCAGGGCACTCACTGCCGAAGTGCATGGAAGTTGGGTTCAAATCCATAGACAGCAGAGGGGAGCACTGGCATCAAAAGTGCGGGAATTACAGAGTCTATCCAGGCTTGGGAAGATCCATGCTGCAAAGAGCGGCCTTCTCAGGACCCTTCTCAACCTGCCCATTGGTGGCATTCCGGAGTTGGAGTAGGGAAATGTGGGTCCCACTTGCAATGCAGGGAGGACTCTGACTTGGCACGTGGGGCCAGGCCAGGATACGGTGCCTCTCTAGGGCAGTGAGGGCTGTGGGGCTCCGCAGTGTCCAACCAGCCGCCTAGGCCCCGTTCTTCATGTTCCCCTGCTTACCAGATCGCTTAGAAACACTAGTATTTTTTTTCTCCACTTTAATGAAAGTTCAGATTTGTGGGGGTAGCCCAGAACAGTGCGAGCGCAACGTGTTAACTGGGTTTATGTCCTGGCTTCATATTGAACCTGTGGGTTTTCATGGTAGGAATTGGGAAGTTTTATTATTACAGTAGGCAAGATGCTAACCTTTTTTAATAATTAGCTGTCTAAATTACCCTGCCTCTAGCTAATACATCCTGGTGTTCTGCAGTCTTTTTGTAATATTAGTTTGTTTCTCAGGGGATTTATTTTTGAAACTAATTGGAAGGTGTCTTTTCCTGATGGTCTTTTTGATGTCCTAAAATAGCACACCTAAAAATACTACCGAACTTCCTGAAAACCTGTCCACTGTTTTAGTGAGTGCCCAAATAAATATTCATGGTTAAAGAACAGAGTTCTGCTCATCTGTAACATCCTAATGAGGTTTTGCTCATTAAATTGATATTCTGAAGTAAAGGGAACAGAAGAAGAAAAAAGAAATCTTATTTAAAGTCCTTTGTGAAGACTTGTCTGATTTTTTTTTTCCTACCTTTTCCATTTCCCCTATGCTTTATCATCTCTTGAAATGATTTTTTTTGACTGTCAAAGAGTACAGCTCATATTTGCTATGCAGTTATGCCTTAGCTGTGTGGGCTGCTCCAGACCAGTATAATATTTGCCGTCCACATGGCCCTGTTTAATGGTTGGGTTTTTGCCTGTGTCTCGGAGGAGGAGGCTGCTTCCAGGAAAGGAATGTGAAGGCAACAAAAGCGGAAAAGGTAGATGAAGCTGCACATCCCTCTCGGGTGGGCTATAATCCCAGGAATTTGGCGAGTTCTTGGCTCTGTGCTGGTGAAAGCTCTGCTTTTGCTGCAATGGGGCATGGTGTAATTTTGAAATAGGCTTGCTCTGCAGCTCCTGTGTGTCCCCTCCCAGCTCCTGGGGTCTGGTCTTTAAAGTTCCCATGGAAATTTTCTTTCCCCCATTTATGTCCCATGGAAAATACATGTTTGGGTCATCTGCAGGAGTGAAAAGGATGGATCAGACATTTTGGTCCAGTCCTACGAGTGAAAGTCCTCGTGTAGATGACAATACCTACAATCATAACCAAGATTTGGTAGTTTGTGACAGCAGAAAATACGTAGCAAACCAGAAAACAAACCAAGAACTCCAGAAAAGGGGTAGCGAATAAAGGCAGGCACACGCAGGCTTCTACCTGCATTTAGTAGTTGTGCAAAGCTACTTGGTACCAGGGGAGGTGTCTTGAGGGGATGTGGCTGGTGGTGCAGGGCACGCTGGGCAGCACCACGAGCGGGTGGCCAGGCCAAGGGTGGTGGCCCTGGTGACGGGGCCTTCACATCTTGCCGCTTCCCGCCTCCTTTGGGACACAGGGACCTCGCAGCAAGGAGCCCCAGGAGCCTGGGGTTAGTGCTTGATATCTGAACCCTTATGGTGACACCCCCCAACGCTTTCAGCTGTCAGCAGCTTGGTGTATCCCTCAACGTTTCAGTCTAATGCTCGAGAAATAGAACATGTTAAGCAAACCTGTTCTTCTCCTGCAAAACAGGGAGAGAGGAAAGCAGCTTTTCTCTCTGCCCTTCCCTCTTCTGCCTTGCTCCTGCCCTATTACTTCCTTATTGCACAAACCAGCCGGGTGCTGCAGGGTCATAGGAGGATGTGGACAAGTTCTGGCCTTGTTGGGGCTGCTTGGGCTCCACAGAGGCCTTGCTTGTCCCAGGGCAGGTTCAGCTGGACACAGGAGCAGCCTTCCGAGCGTGGATCCCGAAGCCAACGTGTGCAGCCCAGCTGCGGGAATGGACAGCACCAGCTCCACAACTGGGAGCCGGGGGAGCTACTGGGATGTTCGTGAGAGGGATGGCTTCCCATAAGGAGTGCTATGGAAATACAGGCAGCGGTGGTGTCCTCGGGTCCAGGGTGTGGGTGTAGGTGTTTGCCATGAAGTCTAAACACTTACGGTTTTGGTTCTTTTTTTAATTATGAAGACTTCCTCTAGGACGATAACCATTTTTTTTTTTCTTCATTATTTCTTCATATCAATTGCATAAATAAGTGTTCTGTCACTTCTGGTCTTATTCTCCTCCATTTTATACCTAAACAGCTCGGCAGGTTCTGAGGTCTGTTTAAGTCCCCTCACTAGAAGGAGGCCTTACTGCGTTCCTGCAAGGGCAGCAGACAGTAACGTAGCCCGTGGTGCCGCCTACCACTCACCAGGCTAGAGAGGAAGCTCATTGGCAATTAATATGAAAAACGATCAACTTCAGGGACAAAATGAGGTTTCTGAAGCGTGTGCTGGACCTGTCAGAGTTATGGCATGCTGAGCAGTCTTGCACATGTGCGTATCTATGCCTGCACACCAAGTTTTCATGCCCAAGTAGCTATTTTTGCTTTTCTTTGGTTCTTTGAATGATTTAAGGAACTTAAAGGAACTTAAGGAACTTGCTACCAGGAGCTCTCTGGCTTGATGAGACTCCAACTGAAAGGGCCATCCGTGGATCTCTGCTGTGAGGCTGCCCGCCAGGGCCCTGGCGTGGGCTCTGTCTTCCACTGGCTGCCTTCGGGCTTTCTGTATTTTTATTTTTATTTTATTTTTATTTTATTTTTATTTTATTTTTATTTTATTTTTATTTTATTTTTATTTTATTTTTA